CTCAATAAATAGGACTTAGAGGATAGGAGGAATAATATTTTAAAACCAACACAGCTCATTTATAGCTGATGATATGGGCTTCTAGTAACTAGAATGATGGAAATTCACTTAGTTGAATTCCTTTATGGGAACCACTTTAATGAAGAGATTAAACCTTTTTTTAAAATTTGCATTATTAACCCCATATAAATGTATGTTTTTAATGTACTGAAGGATATTTCAAATTAATTTTAATTTTTTTTATAATACCTGCTTAGAAATGTAATATTCTCATTATAGGAAAGTCAGAAATGTCAGAGGAGTATAAAGGATAAAAATTTGCTTTAGAAAGGGCTTCAAGGTTCACTGAAAGATTGATGCCATTAGAGTAGCAAAATGAACAGAGATTCTGGTAGCCAGGAACCCTGGATTCTAAACCTAGCTGGCCCAGAGGGTAGTTCAGGGATTTGTCCAAATCCCTTGAGTTTTCCAGCTTTAGTTTCCCATCTGAAAAATGAAACCAGAAAGAGCTGAAATAAAGGATCTTTAAGGGCCTCTCCTATGATTTGAAATAGAATCTCATTTTAGACATTTCATTAACACTGATGTTTACATCATGACAGGTACAAATACCTGTCATGGACAGAAGTTTCTTTTAGTCCCCTACAGACCCATAATAATTCTAAATGCATTCATCCTGAATTCATGACAATTATATTTAGATATTTCCTAATTCACATCCATCCATCCATTAATACAACAAATTAGCTGCCTACTCTTTATCAGCTACTTGCTATTTATTGGGATGCAGAATGGTTATGAAAATGTTCCTGAAATCAAGAACTTCCCAGTTTAACTGGGTGCTGTGGCTCACACCTGTAATCCTAGCCACTCAGGAGGCAGTTATTAGGAGGATCAGAGTTTAAAGCCAGTTCAGGCAAATAGTTGGTGAAACCCTATCTAAAAAAAATCCATCACACAAAATAAAGAGCTGGTGGAGTGGCTCAAGGTTAAGGCCCTGAGTTCAAGACCCAGTCCCACCAAAAAAAAAAAGAAAATCCTACTTTAGTATGGGAAACAGACAAGTAAAAAAATTTCCCTGTCCTACTGGGAATGACATTACTATTGTGAAATATGTCCCTTCACTTATTTGACATTTATACTGAATGGACCAGACAGTGCAGGAGGTACTGGGACACAATTATGGACAAGATAGATGGAACACCTTTTGTTAAGGAGACTCCAAGGTAGTGACAGTGTGAGAGAGCATAGGCATTCAAAGTCAGCATGCTAGCACATGTCCCAAGACAGCTATTCTTTGATAACCTGTACCCCTGGGATGTACAGGAACAGAGTTGGAGAAAGGACTCAGCCAGGGAAGGGGTTAGTAATTCTCAGCTCTGGCTGTCAGAGGCTTTGCATCTTTCAAGAAGGAAATGCTTGGTTGCAAATAGTGGAGAGTTCACTGAATCAGCAAAATTGGAGACAGGAGTCAATAAAGCCAATAGCAATGGCATTGATGGAGATCTTGCCAGACCCAGCCCACTGCTAAGAGTAATCACAGCTGACACTAAAACTGTCCAGAGGGCAGAAGTGTGGTATTCTGAAACGCAGTGCTAATGGCTAAATCTCCATGCACAGAACTGATGAACACTTACTCCAACCTTCTGTTTTGCAGCTGTAGAAATAAGGCCCAGGCAAGGGGAAATTACTTGTGTCCGTAGAGTTAATAAGTGAGCATAGACCAGAATCCAGGGACATGCTGGAATTAAAGGAAAAGAAGAAGAAACTAATTTATTGACCACAAACTCTTCTCTACCTGAGCTGTAGCCTTTACTCTTCACTAATTCAATTTGTTCTTCTATCAGCTCTGTGAAATAGAGACATTACTATCATTCCCACTCTATAGATGAGAAAACTGAGACCAAAGAAATGAAGCAATGTCCCCAAAGCCATACAACTAGACAGGAAGACTGTGAAGATTGAACCTTAGTTTGTCTTTTTCTTCTGCTATTTCCTATTCTCCAGGCACCCTTTTGGGGGCCCCTAGGGTGGATGCTTCTCATTTGCAAAATACGTATTTGTTGTGTGAGTGACAGTAATTAACAATCCATTCAAAGTCAAGGAAAGCTTGTTTAGTAAGCACACAGGAGGAAAGAGAAAAATGTAGCAGCATCCTTTTGCAGCATAGGTTTCTTATTGTCACCAATATTCCCAAAAGAGGGGAAGGAGAGGTATACTGCACCTTCTGTGGAGTCACTGATAGAAGAGATAGGGCCCTCGGCCCTCGGCCCTTTCCAAAAGGAAGGAGCATCCTTCTTGCCCACCCCAGCCTGATTTCTTGCCAGGAGTAACCATTTTACCTCTCCCATTATGAATCACGAGGTCTTTGGTTTTCGGCAGATCATAAATCAGTCCTGGGAGTCCCGAGGACAAATTCTAGGACTTTTAATCTTTAATATTAGACATGTTTAAACTGGTGAATATTTCATGAAGGGGCTGTTGCATTTTAACACATCATTAGTGACTCCTACCCCTCCCCTCTTGGTAACTTATTCCCATCCAAATTCAAGGCTCTCAGCCAGTCCATTAAATTGCACATACTTTCAGCAGTCCCACTGGGTGGACAGTGCTGGACAAGATGGTAGAGGGGAGGGTTATAAAGAGTACACCTAGGAGGTGAACTTGCTCAAAATATACTGTATGCATATATGAAATTTTCTCATGAAATCCCCTTATACTTTTAAACAATCCTAAATTAAAAAAAAAAAAGGTAGAGAGCATTCCTGCCTGTGAGCAGCCCTCTGGTGATTAACCAAGTACACAGAAAAGAAGAAAGATAGCTGTCTCTATTCTGTCTCTCCTTCTGTCTTCCAACAATCTTGTGAATATTTCAAATACTCTAGCCCATGCTCCACTCCATATTCTCTCTTAGTACCATTTCAATTTGGTCAATGTGTGTGAATCTCAGGCTATTTGCTAAATGCTTATTTGGTGCTGGCAATTCAAAGATTAAGCAAAGTTGCAATACATAGAAAAATTTAGGTTTTTAATACTCAACATGTTTCATATAAGATAAAACATATAACATTTAGAGTTCAACAATAAAAGTAGAAAGGTTATTTGATAATACCCATCCTCCTTAGTATCATGTTTACCATGATGTTTTGTTTTGATTTCATGAAGTAGAGAAAATCCTGATTTACAAGACATGTAGTTACAAATAGCATAAGTTTGTTGGCATCTTGACTCACAGTCTCAACATTCTCTTCAATGAAACAAAGACAACAGGAGGTACTTTTTTCCCTGAGGCCTGTGTAAAATAAGTTAATGTGATGATACTGTCCAGTGTCCTTAATTCTAGCATGTGACATCTGAGTGTTTATCCTTCATTTTATTTTTTGATCAATTGATTTTTGCAGTACTGGGGATCTAACCCAGGACCTTGTAGGCAAGCACTCTACCATTTGAACTACATTCCTACCCCTTTTGGTTTTATTTTGATTTAGAGACAGGGTTTGTCTAACTTTTTATCCAGGCTAGCTTCAAGCCTGCCTCCACCTCCAGAGAAGCTGGGATTACAGGCTTGTACCACAATGGCCAGCTCATTTAAAAACAAAATATTAAAGACAGTTTAAAATGAAGCTTTTTAAAGGAAAATTAAGGGCTAAAACTGAAAAGTCCCTAAACCTTCCACACTGAATACATTTCTATAGGCATGATTTGAAAAGTCTTAGATCAGGCCAACCAGAATCACCATAGGATGAAAAGGCTTTATATGTATATATATGTGTAATCACCAGAAGATGGGACAGAGACAACACTAGCCTGGAAATTTGCCAAAGTCACAACAGATAATCATTCATTCATCTCACACTGTTGTGTACTAACTCTGCTCTAAGCAATAGGCTTGGTCAGGGCAGTTCTTACCAGTATTTCCCAAGATGTATTCCACAGAGAGAACACTAATCCTGTGAGTTGTTCCACCAGCAAGTCTCTCAAAGTAAAATAAGCCTGGGGAAAAGCATAGGTATCTCCCTCATGGAGAGTCTATCTTGGTAAAGCATCTGTAATCAGATGAGAAAAAAAAGACAATAAGTAATTGAATCAAAAATATATTCCATCACTTTAAGAAGTACATGGTGGGGTAGAAATGATTAATAGAGTGTAGGACAGAGAGCTTCTGAAAACTCTTCTAGAATTTTGAACTTTGTAGATATTCCAGAAAATTTGACATGCACTGACCAGCCAAAATGAACTTGGGCAATGGAGGATATATTTAAGGTGGTATGGAAAGCCCTGAAGTACTTATGCAACCACACAAAGAGATGGTTGGGGGAAAAAGATGGATAAGTAGATAAATAGATGGATGGATGGAAAGAGATTGAAAGAGAGAAAGTGGAAGAGAAGGAGAGGGGACAAGAAAGGGAGATAAGGAGAAGAGAGGAAAACAAAATTTAAAGTTTTAAGTAAAATACCTGAAACAAAATAAAACCTGGAGACTATAGGCAAAACCAAGTTTTCCAAAAATGTACATCAAAACCTTCTTGGAGGAGGCGGCATTTGACTTAAGGTTTATACAATACTTATTTACTCATGTAGAGAGAATTAAATATTTTAAAATTATACTTGTACAGCAAATACACTCTGTAATTATTTAATTATTTGAAAACATATCCTGCATTCATAGCTACCTGGTCACTTCCTATTTTCCTCATCAAGCTGTCAACTCCGTCAGACACTGGGTTTTACCTTTATTTTCTGTGTTTCCAGTGCTGAGATAAGAACTTAGCAGTTTGGCCAGGACCTGTTGAATAAACAAATGAGTGAGTGAACAAATGAGTGAGCACATGGATAAACTCTGTATTGCCCAAAGTGGCTGATGGACCCAAACAACCTTTTGGGTTGACCCTTTTCTAAAACTAGGCAGCTCACTTTATTTTCCAGGAAAACAAAGGAACCAAAGAACAGCTTACTTTGGGAGGCCATATTTTACAAGATCCCTTTCTCTTTGCTTACAGGAGAGTGCAGCTGTCATGAAGGCTACGCCCCTGACCCTGTGCATAGACATCTGTGTGTGCGCAGTGACTGGGGACAGAGTGAAGGGTGAGTGACACAGGACAGCGGGACTAGAACAGTGGTGGACCATCCCTATCTTCTCTATTGTGTTCCCAGACACCCAAAGCTACTTGACAAAGAAGAGTTCTTCTCTGAAAGAGACAGAGCAAAAACCAATGAGAAGTGAAGCTTTACATTCTCACTGACTCACACTTCCATATTAAAAGTACATGATTGATGAATCTTCTAGAGAACAAAGGCTGACATTTACATCATCCACCCAAACAGGAAGTAATCAATGCGTACTCCCTTAAGTGGACTGAGGAGAAATCAGGTTTTTGTACATGAACTCACAAATGGATAAGTGAACTTAATAAAAGTGTTGAGCCTTTCTATAAAGTGGAAGCATTCCTTTGGAATGTGAAAGGTTATCCCCAATCATTACTTCTATTGAATTTGGTTGTTTGTACAGCTACACTTGAGCAGTGCCATATATGACTCCAACTTAATTCTGACTAATGTCATCTCCTCTCACATTTTCTTTCCCTTTCTCTGTTTGTTCCACAGACCGTGGCCTTACACAACCCTTGAGAGGGGCTATGATTTGGTGACAGGGGAGCAAGCCCCTGAAAAGATTCTCAGGTGAGTTGACAGTCTTTCTGAGGCATGGTGATGGGGAATAGATAAATGTCCAGTAGGGAGGTGTGTTCATGCATCCTTAGAATATTGATTCTGTGTACCTCTGAGCTGCATTGAGCACAAAAGAACTCTCATGGGCACTAATTCACCATCATGGCCCAGGTTGCTATGGGAATCTAATTCCTACTTATCTGGCATATAGACTTATAAGCTCAAGTACAGTAATTTAAAAATATTCTGTGACCATAGAACCTCTTCTGAGCACCTAAACAAAATCTTGTATAAAACTTCAATATTTAAGCAGATAAAGACAAACAGCAAATTAAATGGTGGACCTGAGAATTAGACATTGGTTTGAATTGATTTGGAGTCCATGCTCTTAACTTCTGTGCCAGAATGTTCCTGCTGACTTGGCAGTCACTTGTGGAACTCCTACTGGGTATTAGGACTATGGGGAAAGGAGGGCTGAAATAGTCCCTATCTTCACAGAGTCTACCTTTTACTAAGGAAAAGAAAACCTACCAATAAAAATCAAAATCAATAAAGGGGCTAAATGATGAACAGATTTAAGAAATGACCGCCCAAGTCTGGGAAACCTGTGCACCATTGTGCTTTGGACTATGTGGGGGATTTGGTTGGGTGGAAAAATGAGGAACTGTCCTAGAATGGATGGGAAGAGGGGCCCCTTTTTGTTTGCTCTCTGCTTCCCAGGGAGTACCCCAATGGAAACTCTTACATTGCAGGTCTACTTTCAGCTTGGGCCAAGGCCTCTGGCTTCCGGTGAGCAAAAGTTTTGTGGTTCCACCGGTGGAGCTGTCCATCAACCCCCTGGCAAGCTGCAAGACTGATGTGCTCGTCACGGAAGACCCTGCAGATGTCAGGTAGGGAAGTCGTCTCGAGGACCCCAGAGTCCTGGAAGTCCTTCTATTTCAGGATACCAGGAACTCTTGGAAAGGAGTGATATCTGTGCTATTGATGCTGGCAGCTGCCTGGTGGATGTAAAGAATACTATGAAATCCACCAGGCTCCTAAACTCCTAAAATCATCCTCTATTGCTGTGCCTCAGTGCCTTACATTTCAAGTGCCATTGCTCTTTTTGGTTTTTTTTTTTTAAATAAAATATAAGATAGACTAACATATTATCTTGCTTATTGTACTCAGCGAATTTATCATAGAAAAAAATCATTACTTTACAGTATATTGGAGAGTCACGGAAGCCAAAGTTTGGAGGATGCAATGTTTTCTCTTGTGACTCTGGCACTGGGAACAAACTTTGGGATAATCCATGATATCTAAATGTTCAAGTCAAATCTTGTTCTTTACTTATGAAAGGATAGAGACTGTTTCTTTCCTTACATGTCCTGCACCTTTTAAGCTAACTTCATTATAGGCTTACTCTGCTGCGTTCTAATTAGTTGCTTACACATCATTCTGTCCTATTATGTGGTCCTCAAGGTCAAGGAAAATAACTTATTTAGTTTTTTAATCCCTGGTTCCTAGTATATATTGGAAAACTACTAAATGTTTATTGATCTAATTAAGTCAGGGGTCTTAGATCTGATCTTAGTACTATTATGGAGCTTTCAAGTGGAGGGTTTTTTTCTTCTCAATTTGATTAAAGGAAGCCTTTAAAAATTTTGATGTCACCAAAAGTCGACTCAAGTTTTACTTCTAAGACTGGCTTGCACACAGCTTATTGGTTTGTGAACTAAAATTAAAACATGGCATCACTGACTACCAATGACTGTTATACTATTATTCCATGGCTGTGTTTGAATCATTCTGAGTTAAGATATTGTTAATATGTCCATGACATCTAGATCGAAAGCCCCAAGAACCAGATCTCCTACTTTGCGATAAATTTATTCTCAGCTTGTCACCTTTCACTTAGAAGGATGAGCCTCGCATGGTTTGTTATGCTATGTATTTTCCAAAACTGGTTGCCTGAAAAAAGAATAGAATAATAGAGAAATAGCATTTTTGAAAATGAGGCCATAATTTCTAAGAACTAAGGAAGTAAGATGGTTTTGCACACACACACACACACACACACACAAAGTTGATTCATGGAAGATTATAATCATTTCCATTTTTATAGAATTGAAGTAGATGAACTTGAGAAAAGCATGTGTTAACATCTTACTACATTACATATTTTAAAGTCAGATCAAGGAATATTTGGTTGAAGGACCACTCTCAGACCTAATGACCTTATCTGAAATCAACTGAAAAGCAGCCTCTGCTAGCTTTCCTCAGAGTTCTGTACTGTTGACATTGCATTCATGATTTCAGATACAGCTGTCAGACTGGCTAATCATTACTCACTCTGGAGTTGCAAAGGGCTGGGTGAGAATACCTACTCCACCATGTCTGAGCAATATGATCTCACCCAAGTTCAACCCTATGTTTTCATTTCTTTTCTGTAAAATGAGAGTAACAATGGCTTTTCTTCAAGGAGCATAATGATAATAGCTCATACTCCATGGATCATATCCTACATGACAGATACTTCACTAGTGTTATCTCACTACATCTTCAGCCCGATAAGGTGATATATTATTTTTATTTTACAGATTAAAAATTCATAAACAAGCAAATAAGTAAACTTGAGGCATATGTGATATTTTTACTAGTAGTGAAGCCAACTTTCAACCCCTGATCTGCAAATGTAGATGAAAAACTGCAGTCATTATCATTTGAAAAGATCCACATTAGGTTGATGGAGTTTTCCAAGCTGCACTAATAAACCATGTTTGACATGACTTTGCCCAGGCAAGCATATCATGAGCATTTAAGGAATTAATAACTTCCAGTTAGGTAATATGTTAGAAATTAATAAATAATAGATCATAATTATAGATAGCCAATAATTCTGCCATGGAATTATAATACAGAAATTAGAGGAAAGGTTGTGTGGAAAAGCAAAGCCAAAGGGAAACACAGGTAAACACAGGTAGGATTGGAGAGGAAATGTTGGAAGTACATTGTAAGTTGATATTTTAAGTCTATGATAAACTTTTGGGAAAGTATGGCACCCCTAACTATTGGAAGCAGAGCAGCTTAGTGGTTAAATGCACAGATTGTCACCCACCAACTAAACTTAAAACAACTAATAATAACAAACATTCATGAATATATGAAGCAAATGGAACTTTGATATCCTTATTGTGGAAATGGAAATTAGTATGACCACATATAAACGTGTTGAACAGTATCTACTAAAGTTAGACATATACCCATCTTATAACCCTTCATTCCCCCCCTAAAAATATCCATCAACAAAAAGTACATAAATGAGTTTTGGAGTAATATACAAGGAACTCCATTAAAGAAGAAAATGAGTGAACAAAACAACTCTATGGTGTACCATGAATGAATCTAACTAATATAATATTGAATTATACAATCCAGACACAAAAGAATATGTATATATTTATATAAATATCTTAAAACCTTGTTTTACTAATTAGAAAAAAACTACTCTTTACTGTTAGAAGAAAGGGAGGCATAACTTTTGGTTGATGAAGAGGCATTGACTAAGGGGAAGTATGAGGGTCCTTGTGTGATGAGTTCTTTCACTTGGTGGTGGTTATATGCATATTCTTACAAACAGTGCATCAAGTTGCACATTTTGCTTTAAGTACGTTTTACATTGATTAAACATAAAGTCTCAATCCACTAGATGCTTACTGTGTGAGCTTTTCTGTGGTAGTGTTTCCAAAGATAATGGAGATAGGCAGTTTTTTTTTTTTAAATCATACAAAGGACAGGTGAAGACATAAAGTCTATTATTTAAAAATACAAGCTATGGAACCCAGCTGAACCATCTGAGTTTAAATCCTCATTCCACTACTTGCTTACTATGTAAGCTTTTCTGTGGTTGTGTTTCCACTTGAAGATAATGGAGATAGGAGGTTTTTTTAATTATACAAAGTACAGGTGAAGATTAAGTGAACTGATACATTTAAAGCACTGCATTTGGCAATGGTTAATTCTCTAGAGGTGGTTTTATTATGCTTATTACAGTAGTGTAGTGACTTTTCTTCTTTTTCTCTTTTTTGTTCTTTTCTCTTTGCTAAAAGGCTGTATTCAACTGATGATGCATTTTATAATCAATTGTATCTTAGTTTTGAGGGTTTGCACTAATCTCCATGTCATGAGATTTGGGAAGGACTTAAATGAGTATGTACATTGTATTACAGTATGTCAGGTTTGTGGCTTTATGTATATGAGGTATGTATGGAATGCATGAAGAGTCACATGCAGGGAACACATTGAGTGCTTTAAGGGGTTGGAAAAGAAAGAACAAATTCCTGATCAAAGGAATTAAACAATTATTTCCAGGAGAGAAAATATTAGTAATTAAGCATGAATTGTAGATAAGGTATGGTTGTGTAGAATGTAAGGTAGGAGGAAAGTTTCAAGTTCCAGGGGTTGAAGGGCAATAGAAGAGAACTCTCACCTGGACAGCTCCTGTTCTCTAACCTGTCCTAACAGGAAGATGCTGGCAATGAGATTTTTGGCATTGGAGTCACAATTGATGCTGGCTACAAGGTAGAGGAGCTAAACTTCATGTAGATTCCTTTCAATTTTGGAAAAAAAAGTATACGGCCCCTCCCATGTGCCAGGCACTGTGCCAGGTGCCTCAGGAATAGAGATGAATAAGGCCCATCTCTGTTTTCAGGAGCCTTGTGGCTTAGCATGGAGCCTGAAACAAGAGACTAACTCAAGAGACAAAATAAGTTACTTGTGGTGAGGGAAACATGGCAAACAACACTTATTGCTTCATACTGGGCCTTCTTCACAATTTCAGCTGGAGTTGGTTCTTTTAAGAGGAATGTGAGACTAGCTATTATAGTTAGAATAATAATCATCCACAAAGCTCAGCTTTTGGAGCTCCTCAGTGATTTTTCTATGATCTTAAATCAATGAAAATGAAATGGTGAAATGCTGTTAATTCCTGAACAATGTTGAAAGAATAATGGGATATCAGGGTGCAAGCTGGCATTGCTCACTTGGTGATCATTTTCACATTGAATTAGTTCTGAGTAGAATTAAAAATGGCTCCTTGTTCTTTTACCCTTTCAATTTCAAACATTGAGAATTTATTGAACACCTATTATATGGCAGGATAAGTATTTAGAGTTATAAAAATTAAAACAAGGATCTCAGTGTATTAGATTAGACAAAATCCACAAACCAGCAGGTGTACTTTGTGATAGTTGAAGACGATTGAGGGAAATTTCAAGGCAGAGAGATGACATAAAGGTGGAGGTGATCAAACTCACTTAGAGGTGAAAAGGAAGTTCTTACAGAGAGGAGAACCTTTGAGACAAATTTTGAAGTATCTAGGAAGTCACTAGGCTACTGGTTCTCAAAGTGTGATCCCATAACCATTAGCATCAGGATTACTGGAAGCCTGTTAGAAGTGCAAATTCTGAGACTGCACCTATAGTAGACTGAATGATCCTCAAAAGTATCAGAGCATAATCACTCACACTTGTATATATTACCTTATTTGGAAAAAAAAAGAGCTCTTTACAGATGTTATTAAGAATCTTAAGATAGGTTGATTGTCCTGGGTTATCTGGATGGGCCCCAAAACATAAAAAGCACCCTTATAATAGAACAGCAGAAAAAGATGATTTGAGACACACAGAGGAGAACAGAATGTGAAGGAGTGAGACATTGGCATGGTGTAACCACAAGCCCAGGAAAGACAGAGCCACCTCAAGCTAGAAGAGGAAAAAGCCAATTTATCCTCCAGAACCCTCACAGGGAGTGTGACCTTTATTTTGACCAAGTGATACTGATTTGGGTGGCTATTCCAGTTTGTGTGATTTGTTACAGAAACCACAGGAAACTAATACTAAATCAAATA